TATTATTATTATTATTATTAATATTATTTTTATTATTATTATTATTGTTTTTATTTTCTTTGATTTCTGGCGTTTACACATTTCTTTCCGGGTCCCACCCAGAGACCTAAGGTTAGAAATGGCATCATGACTCTCCACTGACAAAAAAAAAAAAAAAAAAAAAAAAAAAAAAAATATTACATAGATAAAGCCCTTCGTAAAGTGTGGGCTGTACTTGTCAGAAAATTTTTTTTGTATCTCCTTGAGGCATGGACTTCCAGGAATCCCTTCAATTAGTCTACTGCAAACTTTTCCAACCAGTCCTAGGGCTCCAACTACAACAGGGATTGCTGATGTTCCCATATGCCACATTTTCGAGATTTATTATTATTATTATTATTATTATTATTATTATTATTATTATTATTGTGTTATTATCCTGCTTGTTCTAATACCAGACAATTACACGTTCTACGAACAAAGAAAATCAATTTGTCAGAGAGGATCTCTTCTTCTATTCGCCTCATCCCTTCAGGACATGAGTGATTATGGCTCTCCGAATTTTAGTATCCCTTGTTGCCCGTAGTAGTTTTTCTCCGTATGCAAAGTCTCTCACTCCTGTTCTGCCACTAATTCACGCAAACTCGGCGGTCGGTGGGTGACTCGCTACCTTCCCTTATCTCTCTTAGACAACCTACTATTAATTTTTCCAAGCCTTACTTCCTCATTATGTGTCCAAGATATTTCAGCTGTCTCTTTATCATTCTGAGTATAAATATATCGCTTAGGCGATCATGTATGATACATGACCGACGAGGCAGATTATTTATCTGCAGTAGGTTGCCATTTCTTTCTGCGGTAAACCAGTTGCCATCCAATGCTATAGAACCCGGTCTGTCCTGCTATTTAGACATAGCCGGATGGAGAAGAAGAGGATTCATACCTTTCCCAAGGGTATTAGCACGTAAATGATTATCAGTTATATGTCATGCGTGATAAACACTTAGGCGATCATGTATCTTTCGATACATGACTGACGAGGCAGATTTTTCCCGCAGTAGGTTGTCATTTCTTTCCTCAATATGTGCTGTGAGTATTAATTTTTCCAAGCCTTCTTTCCTCGTTATGTGTCCACGATATTTCAGCTATGTCTTTCTCATTCTGAGTATAAGTGTTCTTTCTGCTGCCATTTTCTTTAAGACTTCATTGTTTCTCAGTCGCTCCGTCAATTAAATTCTCAGTATCCTCCAGTAGAAACACACTTTTGTTGCCTCCACTTTTCCCCTCATCCATGGGGAGGTTGTTCAGAATTCTGTGTCGTACAAAAAGATTGATATCAAATCGCAGTTCAACACTCTTTTCTTTGTTTTTAAGGAAATTTTCTGTTTCTTATTACTTTGCTTAGCTTTTAGAATACTTCTTTCGTTAGTTCAATACGTGTTTGGATTTTGGTGGTGCATTTCCCATCCTCTTTTATAACACTTCTCAGATATTTAAACTTATGTGCGTTAGGGTGTAATGGATATCGTCTCGGGGTTCATTAGATTCATTTGGGCAAAATACCTTTGGGAAAAGTATGAATCCATCTCTTCTCTCCCTAGCTATGGGTTGAATGTCAGAACAGACTGAGCTCTTTTGCCTTGGTTGGAAACCAGCCTACCGCAGAAAGAAATGGCAACCTACTGCGGGGAAAAAAATCTGCCTCGTCGGTCATGTATCGAAAGATACATGATCGCCGAAGCGTTTATCACGTATGACACTTATACTGACTGGCTTGGTGTTGACATCTTCAATTTGTAACTTCAATTTGCATCTTTTTCTCTCGCTGGTGACCATGCTTTCCGTTTGGTGGTTAGTCCTTTATTCTCGCTTTCTTTTACTACCCTGTCTAGCAGGTCCTGTAGTTTTCTTTCCGTGTCAGCCATCAACATAGTGTCTTGTGTTCCTTTTTTTTTAATCATTTCAACCCATTCAAGACGATAATGACCCTAAAACGCAAGAGGCTACTAGGAGTGAAGGAGAATGAGAAAACTGCTTTAGTGAGGAGAAAGGACAATAGAAGAACAGGAATCAGTAAGACAGAAGATGCATTTTTGAAGATTGTAGGTGATAGGGAATCAAGAATGCAGACGAGAGTTCTACAGGCGATAAAATAAATTATTAGAATAGAACTTAAGGTTAAATCTAGCTATTTCAACAGCAAAACGGTGAGACCTAGCTGCCAATCTAGTCGTACACTTAAATTCATGCGGTCGAGGTACCAGGGAGGGGAGATCATTAGAAGAACTGCTATGAAAATATTTACAGGAAAGTCAGAGGAAACCACGTCACTGTGTTGGGTAAGTGACTAAAGTCGAGAAGGACCGGTCACATTATAGACCCTATTTTGAATTTCATTGAGAATCTCGAGATATTAGTACCACCAAAAGAGATTTAGCAACAGTATTCTATGCACGGACGAATAGGAAGATTTATAAAAAGTGCAAGGTGGATTCTGGCAATAACAATTGTCTGGCACAACACAGTGAACTAACTTTACTAGTAACAGACCTAGCAATTGTTTCAATATAATCGCTCTACTCAGTGTCAGTGGAAAATGTATGACTAAGAAGGCGCAATAAGATTCTCCTCCGGATGTTACAATTATCCATGTTGATCGATGGCAAAAATAGTTTTCTCTGATGATTAAAAGATAGCAGTTTCATTTTTTAAAAGATTAAGAGTCATTTCTTGTTTGAGTTAAGAACTGATTGGAGCCGGTGACAAATCCTAGTAGAGCTTCCTGCTTCCCTAGGGTAGTGTCGCAGGAGAGATGAAATAAATCTGGGGAGAAGACGCATCCTTGTCTTACGTGCCTTTCTATTTTTGTGTATCAACTGAATTCAATTTCTATCCATATGCAGGCTTTGCTCCCATTACATGTTCTGGGTTATACTAACATCTTTGTTTTAAGTAAATCAAGTTTTCCTAGTAGTTCAAATAGATCCTTATTCTTTACCTTATCAAAAGCGTTTGCGTAAACTATAAATGCATCTCCACTAAAATGTCTGTATAAATAACATTTTCAGGAAGACATCTATTTTATAAATTTCTGTTTGTTATCATGCTCTTCCAATTCCACTTAAATTTCCTACTCTGGACATAGTCACATAGAGCTGAGCATGAGATAAATATTTGAATCATTTTCTAACGGCTAGATTAAATGAGAGGAAATACATTTTTTTAAATCATTTCACCTCCAAGTAAGCATTGAATGCCAATGGTACGTAGGAGGTTACAGATAGTGGACGTGAGAGAAAAGACTGGGTATACATGGGACCGAGAAAAGAATAACGAACGGGATTCAAGAAGATAGATGGAGATTGACGTTGCATTTACATTTTTGAAGATTGTAGTTATCAGGGAAGCAAGAAAACTGAAGGGAGCCCCACAGACGGGAAGTGCGAGAAAAGAAACTGTTGGAGTAGATGTTTCGATTATATTTAACTCTTTCAACAATAAAAGGGTGGGACCTAGATGCCAATCTAGAAGCAAACTTAAACTCATGTAGTCCAGACCAGTGAAAAAAAAGCTCGTCAGAGCAGTTGCCATGAAAATATTTGTAGGAAAGATAGGAGGAAGCCACGTTACGTCGGCGAGAATATGACCGAAATCGAGATGCCAAGTCAGAATCGATTATATCGCAGATCCTTTTGTTAAAAACCTTGAGATGAGTAGCAGGAGCACCAGACTAAATTTGATATCAGTATTTAATGTATGGACGAATGGTGGATTTGTAAATGTAAAGAGAGATTCAGATGAGAAAAATCTTCTGTCACGACACAGTGACTTAACTTTCCTTGCAGTAGATGCAGTTATTGATTCGATGTAGTCATTCTACTTCAAGTCAGTTGAAAACGTGAGGCCAAAGAGGAAAGGTGCATTGCTCTCCATGAGTCTAGTATCAGCCATTACGGCTTTTCTCGGAGCTGGTATCAACGCATACTATCTGTTCTTCACCTCCCTGCTGTGTTTTTCGCTTCGTACGGTTCATGGAATAAGTTTTGAAGTAGAACTGATCCCGGTGATACCAAACCAGCGGCAGCTGTTCCCTCATTGCGCTAAACAGGGGGTTGGTGAAGTGTCAATATCAGAATGACAGTGGTCGCGCGGACTGAACAATTTTTTGTTTCAAACACACGTATCGGCACCCTAACATCAAAAGACCATGTGTCACATTCCGAACAGGGAGGGGGTGGGGTAGTAAATACCCTTAACGATACGGCTTAGGCTGTTTTGTTCTAAGGATGCAAATCGGGGACACACACAAAACATGTAGACTTATAGTAGTTGCAAATTACGACCAGGTAATCTACGCAGTGATATTCAGGGTGAAAGAAATGGATAAACGGAAGGAGAGAAATAACAGAAGCAGGTTTAAGGGTGGAAATGTAGGAGGTAAAAATACAGGAATATATTCTACTTGGGTAGAGATTTCAAGCAGTCCCCTCTTTCAAGTTGCGTGTTGGTAACATTGAACGTGATTACAATGGAGTCGATGAATTAACATTGGTCGAATTTATAATGATTCTACAGGTAAGCATTGATCGTGTTTATAATTGAGTCTATAGATAAATATTTGCTGAGTTTATACTTAATTCAACGCGTAAACGTTGATTATTCTTACACTTGAGTCTATAGATAACCATTCGAGTCTATACGTAAATATTGATAGTGTTTATATATCAGTCTATAGGTAAACAGTGTTTGAGTTTATACTTGTGTCTACGGGTAAACATTGATCATGCTCATACTTGAGTCTCGAGGTAAACATTGATCGTCTTTATACTTCAGTCTATAGATTAACATTGGTCGAGTCTTTAAATGCGTCTACAGTTTCCTTTCATTCTTTTTGTTGCTGTAACTAGCATAACTGTTATTCGGTTCTTTGTTTGTTTGTTTCTTTCTTTCTTTTGCTGTAAATAACATAACTGCCATTCAGATCTTTCTTTCCTTCTTTTCTTAACATTTGCCTTTTTTAGTATCTTTTTAAGTTTCTTCCTTTCTTTTTGTTAATCATTGTTTTTCTATACAATTTCGCTGTCACAGTTTCACAGTCTATCTATCTATCTATCTATTTATCTATCGATCGATCGATAAAAAGTCAAATTCTAAGAATTTTTCTTTACTTTTGCATTTATCAATTGACTTTTCTTTCTTTCTTTCTTTCTTTCTTTCTTTCTTTCTTTCTTTTTGTTGCTATAACTAGCATACCCGTCATTCGATTCTTTCTTTCTTTCTTTCTTTCTTTCTTTCTTTCTTTTTTCTTTTTGTTGCTATAACTAGCATAGCTGTCATTCGATTCTTTCTTTCTTTCTTTCTTTCTTTCTTTCTTTCTTTTTGTTGCTATAACTAGCATAGCTGTCATTCGATTCTTTCTTTCTTTCTTTCTTTCTTTCTTTCTTTCTTTCTTTCTTTCTTTCTTTTTGTTGCTATAACTAGCATACCTGTCATTCGATTCTTTCTTTCTTTCTTTCTTTCTTTCTTTCTTTCTTTCTTTCTTTCTTTCCTTCTTTCTTTCTTTTTGTTGCTATAACTAGCATACCTGTCATTCGATTCTTTCTTTCTTTCTTTCTTTCTTTCTTTCTTTCTTTCTTTCTTTCTTTTTGTTGCTATAACTTGCTATAACCTGTCATTCGATTCTTTCTTTCTTTCTTTCTTTTCTTTCTTTCTTTCTTTCTTTCTTTCTTTCTTTCTTTCTTTCTTTTTTGTTGCTATAACTAGCATAGCTGTCATTCGATTCTTTCTTTCTTTTCTTTCTTTCTTTCTTTCTTTCTTTCTTTCTTTTTTGTTGCTATAACTAGCATACCTGTCATTCGATTCTTTCTTTCTTTCTTTCTTTCTTTCTTTCTTTTCTTTCTTTTCTTTCTTTCTTTCTTTTTTTTTTTGTTGCTATAACTAGCATACCTGTCATTCGATTCTTTCTTTCTTTCTTTCTTTTTTCTTTTCTTTCTTTCTTTCTTTCTTTCTTTTTGTTGCTATAACTAGCATACCCGTCATTCGATTCTTTCTTTCTTTCTTTCTTTCTTTTTGTTGCTATAACTAGCATACCTGTCATTCGATTCTTTCTTTCTTTCTTTCTTTCTTTCTTTCTTTCTTTCTTTCTTTCTTTTTTTTTCTTTCTTTTTGTTGCTATAACTAGCATACCTGTCATTTGATTCTTTCTTTCTTTCTTTCTTTCTTTCTTTCTTTCTTTCTTTCTTTCTTTTTTCTTTCTTTCTTTTTTATTGCTATAACTAGCATACCCGTCATTCGATTCTTTCTTTCTTTCTTTCTTTCTTTCTTTCTTTCTTTCTTTTTGTTGCTATAACTAGCATACCTGTCATTCGATTCTTTCTTTCTTTCTTTCTTTCTTTCTTTCTTTCTTTCTTTCTTTCTTTTTGTTGCTATAACTAGCATACCTGTCATTCGATTCTTTCTTTCTTTCTTTCTTTCTTTCTTTTCTTTTCTTTCTTTCTTTTTCTTTTCTTTTTGTTGCTATAACTAGCATACCTGTCATTCGATTCTTTCTTTCTTTCTTTCTTTCTTTCTTTCTTTCTTTCTTTCTTTCTTTCTTTCTTTTTGTTGCTATAACTAGCATACCTGTCATTCGATTCTTTCTTTCTTTCTTTCTTTCTTTCTTTCTTTCTTTCTTTCTGTTGCTGTAACTTAGCATACTTATCATTCGAGTCTTTCTTTCTTTCTTTTGCTGTAAATAACATAACTGCCATTCAGATCTTTCTTTTCTTAACATTTGCCTTTCTTGGTATCTTTTTAAATGTCTTTCTTATTTCCATACATCTTCACTGTCACAGTTTCACGATCTATCTATCTATCTATCTATCTATCTATCTATCTATCTATCTATCTATCTATAAAATGTCAAATTCATAGAATTTGTTCTTTACTTTTGCGTTGACCAATTAACTTTTCTTTCTTTCTTTCTTTATTTCTTTCTTTGTTCAAGTTCCTTATTTATTTTTTGCATTTAGCAGTTATCTTCTTTCTTTCTTTCTTTCTTTCTTTCTTTCTTTCTTTCTTGCTTTCTTTTTTGCTTTCTTTTCTTTCTTAACATTTGCCATTCTTTCTTTGCATCTTTTAAAATTTCCTTCTTTTTGTTTATCATTGTATTCTCTATACGTCTTCGCTTACAGTTTACAGACTCACAATCTATCTATCTATCTATCTATCTATCTATCTCTCTCTCTCTCTCTCTCTATATATATATATATATATATATATATATATATATATCACTGTTTCTCTCCACCTTATCTATCTGTAAAAAGTAAAATTCCAAGAAACGTTCTCTTTATTTTTTACATTTACCAATTTTCTTTCTTTCTTTCTTACTTACTTACTTACTTACTTACTTACTTACTTACTTTCTTTCTTTCTTTCTTTCTTTCTTTCTTTCTTTCTTTCTAATCCTATCAAATTTGCACGCCTTTCTTTAATAACTTATCTTCTGGCTATGAATCAAAATATGAAATCTTTCAACTTCGTGACTTCACAGAATTTACCTAAAACCACACACCAAACAACAACAAAAGCAAAAATTGACTTTTATGTTCAGGTGTGCAGGAAAAAAAGGAATTAAATTTAACAATAACTTCGTGTATTCAATTTTCATCTACATATGTCATGAGGTAAATCCATGTTCCCGTTTAATCAAGGAACAAATAACCTGGGTTATTACGCGCAAATTTTGCTTACTTTTCACGAATCCATTAGATGCCATTGTAATTTAATATCCCTAACGTAATAACGTTTCACTGTATGAAGTTCGCCCATTTTTCTTGTGTACAATCCATTTGGAAACATATTTTTACAATAACATTGCTGCGAAGTATTTTGTGGACTTCCATTTTATTGTACAATCTTTCTCTATTATAAGTGTATTTGATAGGAAATTTGTCCATTTTTCTTGTGTACAATCCATTTCGATCCACCATTTAACAATAACATTGCTGCATAATATTTTTTGGATTTCCGTTTTATTGTACAATCGGGTCTATTTTAAGTGTATTTAATATTAAATATGAAGTTTGTCCATTTTTCTTGGGTACAATCCATTTCGATCCACCATTTAACAATAACATTGCTGCATAATATTTTTTGGATTTCCGTTTTATTGTACAATCGGGTCTATTTTAAGTGTATTTAATATGAAATATGAAGTTTGTCCATTTTTCTTGTGTACAATCCATTTCGATCCATCTTTTAACAATAACATTACTGCGTAGTAGTTTTTGTAATCCATCCTTGTCTGGTATCCCGGCTTTTCTCGCCCACATGACACGGCTTCCCTCTGTCTTTTCTACAAATATTTTCATGGCATCTCTTTTAGTAAGCTTTTCTCCTCTGTGCCTAGATTGCATGTTATTTAAGCGTGCTGTTAAATTGACAATTAAGTTTCTACATTTTGCTGTTGAACTAGCTAAATCGAACCGTCTCTTCTATTCTAATAGGTTCCTTTCTCGCACTTCTCTCTTGTGGAACTCCCTTCAGATTTCTTCCTTCCCTACCACCTTCAATCTCAAAAAAACAAAAAACAATAAAATCGAAATGCAACGTCAATCGCCATCTTCTATCTTCACTTTGGCTCTATTAATTCTTTCCTTATCTCTCCTCACTATAGTCTTCTCCTTTCCTTTTATTCCCTGTAAACAGTTGCGTCAGAGTGGCATTATCGCCTTGCTTCGGGACAAATGATTAAAAACTGCATGATAGTAAATTCTATGAATAAAATGTAACTAATAGACCGGCAGCATTCTCTAATTAAATATTTAAAAATATGATAATGAAAGTATCAGTTATGGAATTAAATCTAGACGTTGTAACAATAAAGGCAAATATCTATAAGAAAGAATCAGAGCAAGAAATAATATAAGATTTCAGACGCAGATAATTCAAATTTGGTCTCATGAAACGATAATTGGTTAGATGCCAACTACGGAAAGTTTAATAGATAGCTAGATGAATAGATGTGAACAGACTGAGATAGATAGATAGATAGATAGATAGATAGATAGATAGATAGATAGATAGATAGATAGATAATAAACAAAGTGAGATAGATAGAACAGACTGAGATAGATAGATAGATAGATAGATACGAACTAATATAGATAGATAGATATGAACAAAGTGAGTTAAAACAGATAGATAGATATGAAGATAGATAGATAGATAGATAGATAGATACGAACTAATATAGATAGATAGATATGAACAAAGTGAGTTAAAACAGATAGATAGATATGAAGATAGATAGATAGATAGATAGATAGATACGAACTAATATAGATAGATAGATAGATATGAACAAAGTGAGTTAAAACAGATAGATAGATAGATAGATAGATAGATAGATAGATAGATAGATAGATAGATACGGAATAATACAGATAGATAGATATGAACAAAGGGAGATAGAAAAGACTGAGATAGATATGAACATAGATAGATAGATAGATAGATAGATAGATAGATAGAGAGAGAGAGAGAGAGAGAGAGAGACAGACAGACAGACAGATCTGTCTATATTTCGGAGATGAGGTATGTACATTATTTACATTATTTGGACTATTGTCCTCATCTTTGTCGCCATATTTATTACAACGTTTCGTAATTAATGTAGATAGATATGATAATATAACATTTCAAACGCATTTGGTCTCATGAAACGATATTTGGTTAAATGCCAACTACGGAAAGTTTGGTAGATAGATAGATAGATAGATAGATAGATAGATGATAGATAGATAGATAGATAGATGAAAGGACTGAGATAAAATAATTACCATTGATAGATAATAAACAAAGTGATAGAAAGAATCAATTATACTGATTAAGATTATCGAAATTACAACATAAATAAGAGAAAGTGGGAGAATAAATGTGAAGAGAAACACACTGGAAACTGGATAGACAGCTAGATAAATGGCAGGATATGAGTAGACTGAGATATAAACAGAGTGTGATAGATAGATAGATAGATAGATAGATAGATAGATAGATAGATAGATAAATTTGATAATATAACATTTCAGACGCAGATGATTCTAATTTGGTCACATGAAACGGTAATTGTTTAAATGCCAACTACGGAAAGGTTAATAGATAGATAGATAGATAGATAGATAGATAGATAGATAGATAGATAGATAGATAGATAGATAGATAGTGAAAAGACTGAGATATATAAGTAGCATAGATAGATAATAAACAGACTGATAAGTAGATAGATAGAAATAATTTATATTGAATGAGATTATCGAAATTACAACATAAATAAGAGACAGTGGGAGAATAAATGTGTAGAGAAACGCTGGAAACTGAATAGACATCTAGATAGATAGATACATTGATATGAAGAGTCTGAGATAGATTTGAAGAAACTGAGATAGATAGATAGATAGATAGATAGATAGATAGATAGATAAGAACAGACTGAGATAGATAGATAGATAGATAGATAGATAGATAGATAGATAGATAGATAGATATGAACAGACAGAGATGGATTGTATGAAAACTCGTCTTGCACAGACAAGCATTATTGGTTCTATTGAAACGGATTTCTATAATTTTCAT